AGCTGGCGCCTCGGGGTGGCTGGGGTCCGACCGCCTTGGAGGGGCTCCGGCACTTGAGCGGGGTAGGAAGAACTGGGGAGGCGGGGCGTGCCCGCAGCGGGCGCGCGGGTCCCTTTTGTTCTTAGCATTTGCACGGTCCCAGGGCCGCGGCACAATGAAGGACGGGCTGGGGCCACGAGAATCCGCGACGGGGCCTGGCATCCCGCGCAGCGAGAGCCTGCGAGCCGAAAGCGAGCGGGAGGTCTTCGCGTTGGTGCAGCACTGACCATCTGGAAATACCGAGACGGACCGCCAGGGCCGGCCATCCACGCAGGTGTCGCTTCTGTTTTTGACCTAATCGTATATTTAAATCAACATTGTCGGAGATGGTCTTTGTTTTTCCGATTTTCCACTTATTAGCCAACAACTAGCGACGGGATCAATTAGACAGCTGTTATCTCTTGCCTTCGTTCTGCCAAGCTTTGAGAGCGGATACAATGTTGTAGCATTCAGAACGTGAAGACGGGTCTCTTCGGTTCCTTTTTCTCCTGGCAGACGAGACCACATGGGTGTGACCTGCGCAGGCTGAATCACAGGCCTTCATTCGCTTCCTGTTGACTCAGATAAGCTAGGAGGAGAAACTGGCAGCCAAAAGTAAATTTCTGCTTAAAGTCAAATCTCAATGTCTTCTGAAAGTTTTTCCGATCCCTTTACTTGTAGGTGGGAAGTGAATGCTTGATTATGAAGGTGGGTAAAGAACATGAAGTTGTTGAGAGGGAAGAAAAGCCGTGCCCCCAGGGGAGAGTCAGGTTTCTCCCATCTAGAGAAAGAGGGATGACATGGATGGCCCGGCCCTCTCTGGTCCCAGAGCTCTGGTCCTGGAGCTGAGGACAAACTAAGGACGTGGTACACAGCAGGAATCTGGCCAGTGCTGGAAGACGTTGTATTTTAAAGTTAAATCTAGACGTTTCCAAGATTAAAATCACTTGTATTAAACTGAAGAATAGGTAGCAAACTATTGCCTTTCAGTAGTGAAAATGTGAATTTAAGGTATTTTTTTTGCTGAGAAGCAGCATACTATAAAGAGCATGCTTGGGCTCCATTGTAAGTATCTTAGTTTCAACTCCACTGGCTAGGCCAGTGGCCATATCGTGCAATTTAAGGTGTAGGAATCTAGTTCCTTAAAATTGAGGACAATTCCTGCTTCACACGGTGGAGTTTGATCAGATGATGTATGTGACTGAGACCAGCAGTGAATCCAGTAGGCATTCTCTTGGGGAGTTGACTCGTCCTGGAGGGCCGTCCTTGTGGGATATTATGACATACACGTACATATTGGTTATAATGTTGGGGTGCTTGAAGCCTCAGGAAGCAGTCTCTCATCCTCCTGCCCTCCTTTCACCTGCTCCTTTTTCTCCCCAAGGCAGGAATCTTCCCCCACCCTTCTGTCTGGGAGCTGGCTATAAAGTTTGTTTTTAAGTCGGGGTCTCACTCTGTTGCCCAGACTGGCTAAAATTGATCCTCCCGCCTCGGCCTCCCAAAGTGCTGAGGTTATGATATTGAGCCACCAAGCCCAGCCTTAAAGAAGTTCTTTTACCTGCCTCTTCTGATTGTAGGTCATAAGACCCCTGTTTCTCCATACCTTGGAGACAGGAATACTGGCCAGGCCTTACAGTCTAGTTGTATTCGATTAGACCCTTTTTGTCCAAGCACATTTTTACCTGGTTGTCGATCATGCCTACCCAACAAAGTCTCTATAATAGGCCCAAGAAGAGAGGGTTCAGGGAGCTTCCAGATAGCTGAACACAGAGGTTCCTGGAGGGTGGCACACCCCTTTCCCCCTACGTCACCCTATGCATCTCTTCACTGCGTTTGTAAAATACTTTAGAATGCACCGGTAAACCTAAGTGTTGCCCTGAGTTCTGTGGGCCACTCTAGCAAGTTAGCTAAACCCAGAGGGAATTGTGAGAACCCCAGCTTGAATCAGGTCAGACAGAAGCTCCAGAGGGGCCTGGACTTGCAACTGGTGTCTGAAGCAGGGGCTGTTGTGGGGCCTGAGTCCTCTGCCTGGGGGATCTGAGGCTGCCTCCAGCTAGATAGTGTCAGAATTGGAGGACACCCAGCTGGTGTCTGCAGCAGAATTGCTTGGTGAGAGAGGACCCCCGACCCTCACATGTGGCTACAGAAATCTGTTGATAGTTGGGATGGTGTGAGAAGAGAAAGTGGTCTGAGTTGGCTTTTCCACAAACATCTTGTGATCCGTGCCAGAACATCTTCCTGAACTCAAGCTTGCCCTCTGGATCATTATGCCTTTGACCCAGTAACAAGTAACCCCCAAGCACAGAAAACGGTTGCTGAGGGAGGACACAGCTCCTGGAGCCAGCCATTCCACTGTGTTCGCTGGCCTGGTCAGGATGGGTAGGGAACTGCTAAGTTCAGTGGACTGGGGTGTCAGTAAGGTGAGGCTGCTGTTTTCTGCTTGGATTATTGGCCACAGAATCTGTTGTAGCTTAATGGTTTAATTCTCTCAAGCCACGTGGAGTCCCTGGGGGTGGGGAGGGGGATGTGTGTCAGCAAACCATACTGGAACCTTTTAAAGACAAGCTTTGGCCCTGGTGAAGAGGGTGAGATTACAGGTGTTGCCATTGATTGTGTGACTTAGCCTCTACCTGAAGCAGCAGTGTTCTCTCTCAGGACAATACAGATTTCCAGGGAAACCCACAGCCCCCGAATGTCAGATTCAAAGCAGACATACAGTACTCTGGACTTTATCTGTCCTTTCTAGAGCCTGACCAAGTGGAATTTTAAATTTATTCTATTCCTTCCCTCCAACTCCTACAATCTATTCGGCCTACCAGGGTAGCATATCACAGTTCCCCCGGATAAATCCTGGAAGAGAAAGCTGGCCTTTGGAATGAGGGATGATGAGGTAACAGTTGTGTGAAAAAAGAAGGCTTCACGGAGGGGGAGACAACTGAGCTAGGCTTGGAGATGGGTTAGGTTAGAGATGGTCGTGGGAAGGCCCTTCCAGGAATGGTGAACAAATCCTCAATTGTTTTCTGAATGCAACTGTGTATGTGGTTTCCCTTACTCCTGCAGAAGTCCTCAGCACTCAGAAGAAGGAGGGAGGCGCTCAAGGAGTCCTTGGTCACTCCACACCGGAAGTACTGCCTCAGCCAAGGTGACCGTCAGCCAGTGTAACCTTCAGCAATCCTTTTCTAGCCCAGAATGGTAGGGCTCACTGGACCAAGCCTCCTTAATGTGCTCTAATCCTATCCGCGAAGCCACTCCCTCGGAGGCCCTGGGCTTGGGCTCCCTAAGATACACATGGAACTGCAGGCCGATCCTATCCCCCAAGTCACCTGCCTGGCTGTCCTCTAGCACTTTGCATCCCAAGGAGATGGGAGCATCCTGACACAGGATATGGGATGGTTTGGGGGCGTCCATTGAGATTTGGAAGAGCCAGAAGGCATTAGTGAAGAGTAGATCAAGCACACCTCCCAGGAGCCCTCCTGCCGCAGTCCCAGGGGACTGCTTTCCCTGGCACCATTGTCCCCTCGCCACCTGTGTCTGCCCTTGCTCTCCAGCAGCTGGCTCACCTGACCCACTTAGCCCAGGACAGCTAGGATGATGAAGACTTTGGTAAAATACTTTTTGTGGGCAATGATTTAACTTAAAGAATGGCACCTCTTTAAGGTAAGGAGAGGTATGAAAAATCTGGGAAAGTCCTGCGCTCCAAAGGGGCCAGTGTTCCTTCAAATGAACTACAGCCTCCCTTATTCCCACCATCCTGGGAGAGGAAGGCTCCAGGGAACCTGTGTGACCTGTGAATCCTCCCATCCACCCCCAAATTGCTCCCAGAAGCTGAGACATTCCTCCAACCTCCATCTCGGAATCCATCCTGTGAGAAGCCAGTAAGAAGCCCAGTAATGACTCAGCACCAGCCTCTTTTCCCCTCTCCCCACCAGCCAGAACCAAGCAGGCTCCTCCCCGATGGATGGCCACATCCTCGCCACAGACTGAGTCATGGTCACACCCTGCCTGGATGGAAAATTACCAGGAGGGAAGGGGAAGGTTAAACTCGAGGAGTTTTTGATTTCTTGATCCAGCAATCATAGCCATGTGTGCTCTACCTGGAACTAAGAACATAGCTCTTTTCGTGACCCTAGCCCGAAGCCAGCAAGCCCACCACCAGATGAAGTGAGGCTGCTTCAGCCCAGGACTGTGTAAAAGGTGGGAGGCCACTGTCAACCTGTGGAGGCAGAATGTGTCACTGCCTTGCCCTGAGGGATGATGTCTTGTGGTTCACATAGGGGAAGGGGTGGCTCACATGGCGGGGAGAGGCAGTGGGAAGACTCCCTCAGGCCCCACTCAGCAAGGTTCCCTGCAAGGAAGGCATTGGGCTTGTGGCGTTTCAATTGTTTAATTAAAAGAATATACTTGCCGGGCTCGGTGGCTCAGCCTGTAATCCCAGCACTTTGGGAGGCCGAGGTGAGTGG